TAAAAAAAAAAACAAACATTTTAACGTGTCGCTGTTTTGAAGACATAACCTTTTGCCATTTTCTTTTTTCTTGTTAAATTAAAAAAAAATAATTTTATTTGTTATTGAGAGACAGAGAGACAGCATGAGCATGGGAGGGGCAGAGAGAGGGAAACACAGAATCGGAAGCAGGCTCCAGGCTCCGAGCTGGCAGTACCGAGCCCAATGCGGGGCTCGAACTCACAAACCACGAGATCACTACCTGAGCCAAAGTCAGACACCTAACCGACTGAGCCCCTGCCATTTTCTTTATTTTTTTAGTTTTGGCCATTTTCTTTAATATCACTTATATAAGTTAACAGATTGTACTCCATTCAGATACCAGAGAATTTTTGTTTCCTTTTAAGAAATTCTTCAAGCTTTTAATACTAAAGACTTGGAATTTTTTTTTCTTGAAAATGGTTTCCCTTTTTCCCTCTTTTTTTTTCTTTTTAAATGTAAAGCACTGTCAGTATCATATTGCCAAAGTGTAATTCTCAACTGCACTTCTTCCTACTTTTCATACAATTTTAGCCTTGTGTACCTTAGAGATCACAGATGTGTAGAGAATTAAAATTAAGACTAGGTCTCCAGAAATCCAGACCCATGCTCTGTCTTCAGGTTGCCTTTAACTTTCTGTCTGCTAACTTCTGTTTCTTTTTTTAATCACCAATTATGACAACTCAAGTTCTGATATTTTTTAAGCCAACTTTTTTAGGCATAATTTACATAAATAAAATAGACCCATTTTAAGTGTTTGCTGAATTTTGACAAAAATACACACCCATGTAATTCCCACCACAGTAAAAATTATATCGGAAATTTTCCCCACCCCAAAAGGTTTCCTGATGCTCCTTCCCAGTTGATCCCGCGCTGACTCTGGCCCAGGGAACCATTGATCTGTTTCCTATCACCATGGATTAGGTTTGTGGTTCATTTCCTGAATCCTAGGGATTCAGCTAAATGAAATCGCAAAGTATCTACTCTTTTGCATCCAGCTTCTGTCCATGTTTTTGAGATTCATCCAAGCTGATGTGTATATCAGTGGTTTGTTCCTTGTTACTGCTGAATAGTATCAGTTGTATGGGCACACTACAATATCTTTATTCACCTCTTGATGGACAACTGATTTTTGTTTATTGACCTTATATCCTGAGACCTTGCTAAACTTGCACATTAGTTGTAGTAGGTTTTTTATAGATTTCTTAGAAATCTTCTACGTGTATGATCATGTCATCTGTAAGTATAGACAATTTTGTTTTACTTCTTTCCATTCAGAGTGCTTTTTTTCCCCTCTTGGTTTTGGTCCTGGCTCAACCTCTCAGTGGTGACAGCAGAGATGCTGCCTTGGTCCTGACCCTAAGAAGAAAGCTTTCAGCCTTTCTCATTAAGCTTGATGTTGGCAATGGGTTTTTCATAAATGCCTTTTATTAGGTTGAGGAAGATGCCCTCTCTTCCTGGTCTACAGAGTTTGTAATCATGAATGGATATTGAATTTTGTCACATGTTCCTTCACCTACTGAGAATATCATATAACTTTTCTCCTTTATAATGTTAACAGGGTAAATAATCATGATGGGTTTTCTGAATGTTAAACCAGCCTTGCATTGCTGGGATAAACCCCACTTAATCTTCATGGATTATCCTTTTAAAAATATATATTGCTGGATTTCATATGCCAGATATTTTGTTAAAGACTTCTGTATCTGGTTTTCATAATGGATGTTGGTCTGTAGTTTTTTGGTTTTTTTAATAATGCTTTTGTCTGGTTTTGACATTAGGGTAATGCTGGCCTCATGAAATATTCCCTCCTCCTCTATTTTCTGAAAGATGTTGTGTATATTGGTATTTCTTCCGTAGTCTTGGTATCATTATTATTGGTAACGTTGGTATTATTTCTTTCCCACTTCAGTCATTCATCTGAAGTTTGCGGGCAGGAAGCTAAGGGGTAATTTTTAATTACAAAAGTAATTATGTCATATTTTTTCCTAAAATGCAAAATTAAAGTTTCCTGTGTTTTGGCAGTAATTTCCAAGCCCCAATATGGTAGAGCGTCCCCAAGTCTACCGTGAGGCCCAGTGGTTCCCTAGGAAGACCCAGGGACTCAGAAAAGTTGTCCTACTCATGGTGACAGCGAAAGGATTCAGATTAAAATCAGCAAAGGGAAAAGGCAAATGGGGGCAAAGTCCAGGAGAAACCAGGCCCGGGTTTCCAGGTACCCTTCTAATGAGTGGCACGGATGCACTTAGTTCTCCCAGCAGCCATGTGTCACCACACATGCAAAGCCTGGCCAAGCTGGGAAGCTCATGGAGCCTTGAGTCCAGCGGGGATGTCAGTCATGTGCACGTGCAGCACCCTCGTGACTTGCCTCAGCTACTCAGACTCCAGGCCCAGAGAGCAAAACCAGATATTCATCATAGGAAACACCATTAGCATAAACTCTCACATCAAGCTAGTAACACGTGGCCCCAGGCATCAGGCGCACAGAGCACTCTTATGGGGCGGAAGATTCCAAGGGCTCAGAACTCCTCTCTCAAGGGCCGGCCAAGGACTAGTCCTAAAGACACGTTTTAGGTGGGGAAGTGTGGAGTTTGAACAAACCTGGCCTGTTGAATTAATCCTTTCCTGAGCCTGGATTTTTTTTTTTTTTTATGATGTAAATAAACTTTCTAAAGTAAAAATGCTCCATTTCCTCTGTATGCAGTGCTGCGTCTTCACCTACTAAAACCGAATAAGTTCTCTTCCTTTGGCTTCCTTGCCGCGTGTTAAGAATATTCCTTTGTGTTCAGCTGTCCAGGTGCTGTCATGATCCTGTTCTATCTTCCTAATGGTAAAGTCCTGTTACACACCGGAGACTTCCGAGCACACCCCACCATGGAACGTTCTCTTCTCGCAGGCCAGAAAGTCCACACGCTTTACTTAGATACGACGTAAGAGAGGCTTTGTTTGTATGCTTCCTTTTCCCGCTGACAATATTTGCCCCGTAGATCATGAATAATGTGCACAGGTGCTTAGGTAATCAAAATGATGTCTGATTACCAATTACCATCTTAAGACTATTAGAGAAATGCTGTTTGAAAAACTACATACTTGCTTAAGAACAAATTTGAGAGGACATAGTCCTAACCAGCTACGACTCAGTTTTTTCTTTTTTGTAATTTCCTTTTGAAAATATGGTTTCTGTGAGAATCCTGTTACTGAAACAAGGAAGGAAAAACGGGGGGGGGGGGGGGCAAACTTTAGGAAACACCCTTTTAAGTTATTTTTTCAAAGTACTTGTGTAACTATTAAGTAATTGTGGAGAAGAAGCAGAAGCCAAAATGCGATTCTGCTTCAGAATATTCAAAATTCTTTGTTCGTTTCTCCAAATGTAATTTTTAAGTGACAACTTTGAATTCCTAAATGTTATATAAACATAATGGCACCAGCCATTTTTTATTATATATTAAAATACCTCATCATTTTGTTAGAATTTAATTATACCAACTATTTCAACCTGTTTTAAGAAGTGAGTTTGGATGGCATATTTTAATAAAAAAATGGCCTTTCCACATCCAGTTTTCTAACACTATAGCTAATTTTTCCATTTTTTAATATGTACTTTAAATACTAGGTAAAGAAAATAATAAGTAAAAAAAAAAAAACCCAAAACACCTTTTTTTTGTTACTTAGTTTTGCTCAACATAGAATTCTGAATTTCTTTGTGGGTTTTTTATCAGAGAAAAGACCTAAGTGTCTTCTCTATTATTATGGCTGACTAGCAAAAACAATTTTGAAAATGGGGAAAAATATGTTTCTTTGATATTTTTACTTTGTGACATTTTTTAAGTAAAAAAAAATGATTGATTTTCATTTTCATGATTTTCATCCCAAGTGGAGACAGGTAGCTAGTAGTCTTAGGGTTAATTTTATATTTGGTGTTATTGTATTGAGGTAGACCCAACTGGATCTGTAGTATTCCTGTAATATTGTACATATTTCTGTACCTCCTCAGAAGAGCAGATAACCATGTGAATGTTCACTGTTTGATTTAAAGCTACTTCAGTACATTCAAATTTGATTTCATCACTTATTTATTTATTTATTTAAAAATATTTTTTTTTTCTAATGTTTATTTATTATTGCGAGACAGAGAAACAGAGCATGAGCATGGGAGGGGCGGAGAGAGGGAGAAACACAGAGTCCGAAGCAAGCTCCAGGCTCTGAGCTGTCAGCACAGAGCCCGACGCAGGGCTCGAACTCACAAACCGCGAGATCATGACCTGAGCTGAAGTCGGACGCTTAACCGGCGGAGCCACCCAGGCGCCCCACATCATTTTAATTTTTAAACGAATCAGAATTCTTTAGTTCAGAGATAATCCCTGTCACTAGTATTTTCTTTGATAGTGATTGGGGTTAAAACAAAAAAGCTGCTGAGGTTTGTAATTCACAGCTAAAATAGCTGGCCGGCTAGAACAGTCCTTCAAGAAAAAGGGGCAGTTTCTTTATATGAGGGTGATAAAAGAAATATGAAAAAGATACATTGAAGATGCAGAATTCCATCAGAAATTACCCCTGGCCTGTCACAAATATTTTAACCGTAGGCAGTCCATAACCAGAGTGGTGTTAATACATCATACTGTTGCCGTACGTACGCTTGCTAAAGCTTGTTTTCTAGAACAGCGTCCAGCCTAATGCTTTGGCTTTCTTGTTGCTCATTTAATAAGTACCGTTTTTAACATATTACAGATACTGCAGCCCAGAATACTCCTTCCCGTCGCAGCAAGAGGTTATCCAGTTTGCCATCAACACTGCCTTTGAGGCAGTAACTCTAAACCCACGTGTTCTTGTTGTCTGTGGCACCTATTCTATTGGAAAAGAGAAAGTCTTCCTAGGTGGGTGGTGGCTGTATCTAATTTACATTAATATATTATAAAGATCAGATTCTCTTTTGCATAAAGCCCTTTCAGTCTGGATGCTTGCACTTGATACTTCTTTCCTGAAATGGTGCAATATTACCTTTGAAGAAAAATTGATAGAGTTGGGTTCCTTTAAACTTTGAAAGGCTTAACTTAATGGAAATGCCTGGTAAGTGCGTGTGCCATTGCCTATGCGTCTATACAGTGTTTCTAGAGCAAATGTCCGTGCTACGTTAGTATTTCAGTGAACTTGGAAAATTTACTAATGCGTAATTGTGTCTCTGCATTCTTTGAGGATAACCATCAATTAATTACTTTAGAGAACAGTTTTAATTTTTGTACATAAATGATTTCTGGATATGCAATTGTAGCTTGTCCAGATGGCATTAGACTATTTTACAAAATACTTGGCACTTCCTCCTGATTATGGTCGCATCATGGCAAACATTAAGATATGAAGTGATAAAGCCAGAGTTTTAACTCCTCCAACTTTGGTTCCTTCTTTTCCTCTACCCCTGTCTATACATCTTTTGCGATTTTTAAATACTAGGTCTTAAAAATAAGTTCTTTGGATTTCTCACAGTTCTTACTTCATATAGTTAACCAACAAAAGTACTCAGTGTTTTTGAAATATTAAAAGTGTAAACGTTTTGAATTTTTTGGGGGGGGGAATTCTTATTTTAAATTTTGATTAAGTTGTAACTTAATTTTTTTTTATAAGCTGTGATTTTACTATTTTCAACCTTTTCCTTTGCCTATAGCCATCGCTGACGTTTTAGGTTCAAAAGTGGGCATGTCCCAAGAAAAATATAAAACCTTACAGTGCCTCAACATCCCAGAACTTAATTCCCTCATCACTACAGATATGTGCAATTCACTGGTTCACCTTCTCCCAATGATGCAAATTAACTTTAAGGTAAGCATTCATGAGATGTCTTTTTAGCATAAACTAGAAAAGGTAATGCAATGATTATAAACTGGAATCTCATTTTACTTGAGTTTAACTTGGAGGAATTAGAGTGGAGTCATAGTAAACTTTGCCCTAGAAGGTCTTTTAAGTGGAATTTACAGTGCTTTTATTTTGTGTGTGTGCGTGTGAACAGCTGTATAGAGTAATTCACATGTCCTGGGAACTAGAGAACTATCATAAAAGAAACAAAAGTAGGAAAGTATGCAACTATCTGATCATTCACACCTTATGTTTTGAAGATTGTCTTCCATTCCTTTCCAGTGAGTAGAGCAATGAATGGAGAATTCTAAGAGTTCTTACTTGTGTTAAGGTCTATTCTGTATTAATTGTAAGCCCCTATAATACTGATATATGTTGGAAATTTACGTGCTGTGAAGATTAAGTGCAACAGTGGGAGTGCATTCAAAAAGGATGTTCTAGTGTTAGTTCTGAGGCAGAGGTTAAGAGACAGAAGATATGAGCTCACTCTGATTTGGGGCCCTTATTTGTCAGGTTTACTCCTATACTAAGATTCATTCCATTTACTAATATTTGGACACCTAGCAATGGAATGCATCAGAACTGTGTATTAAAAATAGATCAGAACATAATGTACACACACACACAAAATGTATTTTCACTTTTGTTAAGATGTTCATGAAATAACATTTATGGAGCTTTTTGAAATAGCTTGAAAAAAAAAAAGAAAATGAGTTATTTTAGTTCTAGCCCCTGGAATAAAGAAATTGTAACAGGTGTAACTATTCCTTTGTTCATGAGAGAAAGGCAAAATTTTTGTGGTCTATTTTCCTGAGTATATAATTCATAAAAAATTTCAGGGACAATCAGGTCAGAGTTTTGTCCCTCTAAAGCCATCTTCGGAAAAGTACTTTAAATTTGGGAGTCATCTGATTTGTGTGGAGGTTAATGAGATGTTGATTATTCATAAAACGAACATTGATATCTTGAGGACAGTATGGCATGTTTTTATGATTTTTATCTTAAAGTTTTATTTCCTACTAACTTAGTTTGTTCCCTTTGAACAAATGACCCATTTAGGAGGATAATAGGGGTGGAAGAGTCAGAGTTTTGTAGAAATGAGGGAGTAGAACTTTTCATGGAAGAGTTTTTAAAGGTACCTTGTGCTGCACGGAGGTCACGTAAGCAAAGAACGGCAGTTTGGCAGTTAGAACATGTTGGGTGACAAGAACTTTTTGAAGCGATATTGGAGGAGGCCAAGTGGTAGAGGGCTGAGGAGGGAATGAGAAGGTATAAATGGCCAAACGAATGAGAAGGTAAACAAATGGCCTAAAAAACATGAAAAAAGAGGATCAACATTGTTAGTCATCAGGAAACCATAAATCAAAACCACAGTGAGCTGCCATTTTACACTCACTGGGATAGTGATAATAAAGAGACAGATGGTGTCATTTGTTAGTGAGAATATGGAGAAACTGGAACCCTATTTATTGCTCGTGAGATGATTAATGGTGCAGCTGCTTTGGTAAACAGTTTGATAATTCTTAAAATATTAAACATGGAGTGACTATATGACCAGCTAATCTTAGGCGTATGCCCAAGAGAATTGGAGACATAGATCCACACAAAAACTTCGACACAAATGTTCACAGCCACGTTATTCATAATAGCAAAGAAGTGGAAACAACTCAAATATCCATCAAATGATGAATGGATAGACAAAATGTACCATATCCATAAAGTAGGAATGTTATCCAGCTATAAAAAGGAATGAATTAATAGTACACGCTACAGTGTGAATGAGCCTTGACAACATGATGCCACGTGAAAGAAGTCAGGTACAAAAGGCTACATATTATGTGATTCCATTTATGGGAAATGTTCTCAGGAGGTAAACCTTAGACACAGTAACTAGATTAGTGGTTGCCGGGGCTTGAAAGAGAGGGAATGAGGAGTGACTGCTAATGGGTAGTGTCTCTCTTTGGGGTGATGAGAATGTTCTAGAATTAGATAGTGATGATGGTCATGAAGCTTTATGAATATGCTAACAACCACTGAACTGTGCACTTTGGGGAAAATAAATGCTAGCAGTTGTCTGTCTTGAAGACAAGAAAAAAAAAAGAATATCTTAAATCATTGTCTTTTTCTGTATTTGTTATCTATTGTTGGTATTGCCTTCAGTAGCCCCTCCCCTTCCTCCATGAAAGTTATTGATGACATTTTTGGAAATTACTTATCTACAAAACACAGATGGAGTGGAAGCTGATGGTTACCATGGGGCTGTATTTTAGTTTGTACCTCAAGCCAGTTTTTTTAATTTTTAAAAATATTGTTTTAACTCTTATTCATTTTTGAGAGACAGAGTCAGTATGATCCGGGGAGGGACAGAAAGAGGGAGTAAAGCCAACTTTTTTGCCAACCAAAAATAGTTCTGTTGCATCAGAGCTAATGATTGTGAAAAGGTAAATATGCAATTTTCAGGGTTTGTTAGGCAGGCTTGAAAGCCCTAGAAACCCTATAAAACCATTCATGCTATCTAGTTCAGTATCCCAAGTCTATATATGTGGTACACAGTTAATTACCACCTCCAGTTACCTGATTGACTGTGATCAGATATTACAACAGTAACGTTATAGATGATTACACACTGAAAACCAATTCCGGTTGCATATAGTGAAAGCAGTTTTATCACAAACTAGTTACCAATAAACAGACACAAGTCACGGATCAGAGACTTATAGTGACTAGATCATTCCTTTTTTTTTTTTTTTTTTAAGTTTATTTATTTTTATTTCGAGAGTGAGAGAGCGTGAGTAGGGAAGAGGGAGAGAGAGAATCCCAAGTCGACTCCACACCGTCAGCATGGAGCCCGACACGGGGCTCGAACACACAAATCCCGAGACCGTGACCTGAGCCGAAATCAAGAGTCGGATCCTGAACCAACTGAGCCACCCAGGCGCCCCAGATCATTGTTGATAAAATTCCTAAGATGGTAGTAGTTCTTCAGTTGCGGCTAATGAATGACTAATGGCTGTTGGCAGTCTTTCCTGTATGTTTGGCTTGGACGATAGTATCCTCGGTTTTTGTTTGTGGCGCGGGTTGATGATGTTTTTGTGGTAACTTCGGTTTGTTTCGTGAAAAGCGGAAATTCTCACTTAATTCTACTGAGTGTTTTTGCAGAGCAAATAGGAATGGATGTGTTTCATGACTTACATTGAGAGCTGGACTCTCACTTTACGATATTGTACATATAATTGCTTTTGTTTTGTATTATTTCCTTTTCTTTGTGAGCACAGGGGGAAGAGAGTTAGTACGTAAGCAAATAGTACTACGCTTACCTAGATCTAGACTAAGCAAGACAAAAACCCCAAAAGTTTGCAGAGGCAGGGATTATAATGAAAACTTAGCTATCTGTCCATAACCTAAACTTTTTTGTGGAGAGGCAGTAATTGGTAAGAAATATGACTGTTTAATGGTAGGGATTTAATGAGAAATCATTGATACAAGTGAGAAGTCAAAAGATTGTTATTAATTCAGCAGTGAAATATAAATGTCTGATAAACACAGTCAAATGTTTAGCCTCTACCTAGTGATCAAACATAAAAGTAAAAAACAAAACAGGGATATGTTTGTCTTCTACCAAATTGGCATACTTTTTAAGAAAGTAATATTCCTATGCCATGATATAGAGAAATTAGCACTCGTATCCACTTGGATAGTAGTGGAAAGTGGGGTAAATCTTTTTACTCAACAATTTCATTTCTAGGAATTTCTTCTAAAAAAGGAGTCCTTTGTGGGGGCGCCTGGGTGGCTCAGTCAGTTAAGCGTTTGACTTTGGCTCAGGTCATGATCTCACGGTTTGTGGGTTCGAGCCCCGTGTCGGGCTCTGTGCTGACAGATCAGAGCCTGGAGCCTGCTTTGGGTTCTGTGTCTCCCTCTCTCTCTGCCCTTTCCCTACTCGTGCTTAGTCTCTCTCTCTCTCTCTCTCTCTCTCTCTCTCTCTCTCTCTCTCTCTCTGGAAAGTAAATAAACATTAACAAAAAATTTAAAGGGGCACCTGGGTGGTTCAGTTGAGCATCTAACTCTTGGTTTCAGCTCAAGTCATGATCTCATGGGTTCGAACCCTGCATCGGGCTCTGTGCTTGCAGAACCTGCCTTGGATTCTGTGTCCCTCTCTCTGCCCTTCCCCGTCCATGTTTTCTCTCTCTTTCTCTCAAAATAATAAATTTTAAAAAAAGAAGAGACAACTGTTTCTTTAAAAAAAAATTAAAATGAATCCTTTGTGAAAATATCAATCTGTAAGGCTTCCAGTTATTGATGGTGTAATACATGATCAGAAGTAGAGCAAGTTAAGACAGGGCCTATGGTTTCCATTTCTAAAAAAGATCCACACAGTGGGTTTTATTGACCATCTCCCTGCCGGGCTATAAGTTTCCAGAACGTGAAGGCTGTGTCTCTCACCCAGCACTCTGACCCCATGACATGGCCTAATACTGGAGCAGATGTTTATTAGATGAGGGACTAAGTAGATGGATGAATGGATTGGTCTTTGTTTTCTTCAGAACTTTCTACCAGCATCTTTTATAATACTAAATAGTTCAGAGCATGTATGATTAAGAAAGAAAAGAGCTTCAGAAATCCAAGATGACACCATGTGCAGTTTAGATTTTTTATTATTTTACATAAAACTAGAATTTTATTATAAATTTACACTAAGCCCTTGACACCGTGGGTTTTGTCTTACGACCAAAAGTATTAGACTTTTGGTATCTCTTGTCCCGTGACTCTTTTTATTTGGATTTTTCTCATCTTTCAAAGATTGAACCTGGGTCACTGATTGTCACATTTCATCAAATGTCAGCACTTATGATGACTTTAGTTTGGAAAATTCTGCTCAAGATTTCTTAGGGAAGCCCAGTACTTCCAATGGTAGCAGCATGAAAAGTGTTGAAAGTATTCTAGTTCGTGTTTGAAGAGTGAAAAGGAGTGAGCCCCCAAGAAGAGTGCCAGTGCATGTCTTTGAAGTGTGCGTGTTGAGTCTGAAGACATTGACAGCATTGCTTCCACTTTCTATCCGTCCATCGGTCCTCCGTTGGACATATGCACGTGGATATGTTTGGCTCTCTGTTTACCCGTGTCAGTATTAGTATCTCTAACAGGGATACTCTTACATACTATTATTATCCCTAACATCCTAGCTGTGTATTCAGTATCCTCATAGTAGTAGGACTTGGAGTTTGTTTTTTGTTTTTTTCCATTCTTTTTTTTGGTAGCTGATATGTCATCTTTAAATACATAATTCTTATGTTTAAATGTGCCTCATCTTATTTTCAGACTGTACTTAAGCTTGTTTAACTTTAGATAAGGGGAAAAGGGTTTTTTTTTTTTTTCAGTGATTTTGACTTTTTTTTTTTTTTTTGGAAGTATGGCTCTAGGTTATTGCAAATTAATGTTCACCAGGCGCCAACTCGCTGAGATTATGCCAGCGTGATCATTCTGTTTTCTTCCGCATAACCCACCTTCACGGACCATTAAATACGTATCCTATTTTTATTTAACAGGCTTTACAGAGTCATTTGAAGAAGTGCGGTGGAAAATATGATCAGATTTTGGCTTTTCGACCTACAGGATGGACACATTCTAACAAGTTAACTGGTATAGCAGACATTATTCCCCAGACCAAAGGAAACATTTCAATATACGGTATAGCTATTACATTTTTTTTTTCACTTTTAACGTCTGTTATTACATTTTTATTTTTTTTTTTTAATTTTTTTTTTTTCAACATTTATTCTGGGACAGAGAAGAGAACAAAGGGAAAGCATGAGCGGGAGGGGCAGAGAGAGAGAGAGGGGGAGACACAAAATCAGCAGGCTCCCAAAATCCCAGCCAACCAAACCCGGCGCGGCGGGAAAATCAGCTCAGACCGTCAGACATCGATATCAGGAAACAACAACCACTTAAGCCTCCTCTTGTTTGTTTTTTAATTTTTTTCCGCGTTTTGTACCCTATTTTTGGGACTGAGAGAGGAATACCAGAGCATAGGCAGAAGAGAGGCAGGAAGAGAGGGAGACACAGAATCGGAAACAAGGAGAAGAATTATTTTAAAAGAAAACCTAATTAAAAATAAGAATCTAGAGAGATACATATTAAGAGTCTACATAGAGGGGCACCTGGGTGGCTCAGTCGGTTAAGCATCTGATTTCAGTTCAGGTCACGATCTCACGGTTTGTGAGTTCGAGCCCCACGTGGGGCTCTGTGCTGACAGCTCAGAGCTTAGAGCCTGCTTCAGATTCTATGTCTCCCTCTCTCTGTTCCTCCCCTGCTCGCATTCTCTGTCTCTCTCAAAAATAAATAAAGAAACATTAAAAAAACTGACCCTTTCTTCCCCTTCCCACTTCAAAAAAAAGAAAAAAAGTCTACATAGAAACGCAATAGAATTTTTTAATGTTCAAAGTTCCTGTATCATTTTAATCTTTATTCTCCATAAAAGTTATTAACAATTTTTCTTATCAGTAATAAAGCACCAAGGAGTTTCTGACAAAAATACTGTGGATTGCTTTACCTTTTTATTTTGAGCTTGTGTGGGGATTTGTTTTAGTAATTTGATTTTTCATAGGCGATACCTTTTCTTTGGTGTTGCAGGAATCCCTTATAGTGAACACAGCAGCTACCTAGAAATGAAACGTTTTGTTCAGTGGCTGAAGCCCCAGAAAATCATACCTACCGTGAATGTGGGCACTTTGAAGTCTAGGAGCACAATGGAGAAATATTTTAAAGAGTGGAAATTGGAAGCTGGATATTGATGTTACCTGAAAGGACTCAGAACTAGTTAGGTAACTTCCGTAGAGCTCATTACTAGTTAAATCTTAAGTGATATGCAACACACTTTATATGAAAAGCTTCGTGAAGGCTGCTCAGATAAATTGTTTCCTCATTTACATTTGAATAGCACGTTCATGGTGCTGAGTGTCTCTGCATCCTCAGTAATGATGGAGACTGGTCTCCCAAGTACCCTTGATTCTTGCTCCTCCCACCGACGCAGGTACATCCTGCTGCATCCAGCCTCAGGAGAGGCGACAAAGGCAGCCTGAGGGACCAAAGGATTCATGATGATAATGGATAAATGAGATCGAAAGCATTATATACCTGTCATTTTGTATTTTTAAAATTATTTAATATGGAGCATATTTTTATGAGATAACTTTTATGTGGTATGTATACTTAAATAAAAAATTAATCTTAAATTTGCCATGGTGTCTTTTGGTTTTTAGGATTTGTAACCGTGATATTCGTACAATTTTGTAAAATTTCAATGAAAATAATTCACCATGTGACTAAAGAAGATGATTCAAAGAGCCTAGGTAGTCACCCAATAAAGGATGGCGAAAAGAATGCATGAATAGATGTTTATCCGAACTATTTACTAAAGACATTAGATTACTAGAAATTCAGATGGCAGCGTTTTGGTTTTTTTTTGAATTTATTTATGAATCCTGATCTGTCCAACACAGACTAAGTAGTTGATCCAATATGAAAATTTGGGGCAGGCCAATTCATGTTAAAAATGTTTTTGGGTTAAAAATGTTTTAAAAATAAGAAAACGGTTAAGTATAATGAACACATGCATGTTGTGTGTATGTGTATTCTTGCATTACCTCTAGCAGTGAAATTATTTGGGAGATTTAAAAAAAATTTTTTTTTAACGTTTATTTATTTTTGAGAGAGGGACGGAACACATGTGGGGGAGGGGTAGAGAGAGAGAGGGACACAGAAACTGAAGCAGGCTCCAGGCTCCCAGCTGTCAGCACAGAGCCCGACGCGAGGCTCAAACCCACGAACCATGAGATCATGACCTGAGCTGAAGTCGGGATGCTTAACCACCTGAGCCACCCAGGCGCCCCGGGGGATTTCCTAATAAAGGTTTTCATGGAAAATTATTTCCAGTAATGATTTCAGTCACCAGAAGGATAGTGTTCTCCATGAACTTTATTTTCACAAGCTTGGGTTTTACATTGCTTTGGAGGTAAGGATTATACAGATCACATATAAGGGAGGAAAAGCTTTTAGGGGCACAGTGGTAATAAATCCAGTTTAATGTTGTCAGTTGACTTCAATTACACATTTAAAATATTTTAGCTTGTTTGGGCTTGATTTTTGAAACTTTTCATTAGTTATTAAGAGTTAGAAAAACTTAGTCTAGCCCACAAATACAGGCCTTTTTATTATAGGGAGATGGTCACGTTGCTTATGGTCATTTTAATTTATTATTTGAGTAATGAGGTTTTTTCCTTAGAATTGTGATTTTTTTTCCCTTCGTAAAAAGACTTTTCATGATTTTGAAGCTTTACCTTGAAAATCCAGGCATGTTATTTAAGGGCAGCCTCAGCCTTTTTATTATCCAATGCAAAAAACATCTTTCTACACAAACAGCACTATTTGCAACAACTTGGAATGATTTTGTTTTGCTGCTCCTGCCGCGGAATATGCAGAACCTCGTTTAGGGCCCATCCCAAAGAGTTTTAAATATAAGTCACAATCACAGCCAGGCTTCTCTGGGCTCTGCTGAGAGCTATATATGAAATTCTTCGTTCCAATACCTAACACTTCGGTAGATAAAAAATTTCAATTTTAAAGTGAAATGAAAGAAGAAGAAATCTACCATCAACCAAAAATAAATGGATGACAGCTCTCGAACATCTTAAACACGTGTAGAGAAGAAGTAGAATTAAGCCAACGTAGAGAAAAATGTTTTACTATTTATGTATTTGGAACTTTCCAGAAAAACTGGTTTACACTCTTACCTGACACTGAACATTAAATTCCCAGAGGCAGTGACATTTGACAGGCCGATTTTTCACGTTCTCGTGACTTCAGTGTAATAGAAAAACCTTTTCTACTTCTTGTCAATGCCTTTTGTCACTGTATTAATGTACCTAAATATGAAACTGGTTTTCAGAATAACAAATTTTATTTCATGGATTGTTCAGTGACTCCGTTATATTCCTACAAACCAAATACATTCAGAATTTCCTTGTTTGGTCCTGAGTAACCATTGGTAATAACTAGACTAAGAAACTAAGAAGAAGATCATCTTCAAGTACTAATCCTCAAAATCATCTGTCTGGAAAGAATATTAATATTGACTTGTAACTTTTCTGGTGGCTTTATTACTATTCATTTGGTTCACCTGATACCGATCTGATCTCAGGAAAATTCCTATAAAGAAGTTCTGTGAAATCAGCAAAACTGTAAGTTAATGGTTATCGGTAATAGAACGGTTTAGGTCTAAGAATGACTTCTATGCTGAATAGTTGGAAGCTTTTAACTTGGCAGTCATTTTAATCTGCTAATTATGTTTCCTCTTTCCCTTAACATCTACCCCTTCCTCCTTGAAGTAGACCTGTCTCCTTGCCTAGGTCTCATTCCCCGCCCCCCAGGATTTCACAGTCCCATTTTTGGTAAGCCAGAAATAACTTCTAAAACATTTGTTATGAAGTGTGCCAAGTGTATAAAACCAACTATTATGCAAAATGATTATTTTCGTTAAACATTCAAGGCCGGGCCAGAACTAGGGTGAGGCGGAAGAGGTTAGCGTATGGGAGTTGAAGAGGTGCTGACCCTGCCTCTTGCTGACCGTGCAGTTGAATGGCCCAAGGAGGGAGAGCCTCCTGACATTTTATGCTAGGAAACCCTCTTGTCTCATCCTATTCCCAGGCCCTGCCGCGTAGGATCTAATTATTGAGTTTTTGTGAATCCAAAATGGTTTTCTAAATACAATGCTATTTTAACTGTGTTTTGAAACAAAAACATCATAATCTGAATTGAAGGGCATACATTTTAAAGAACTTCCAGAGTCATCAGTATAGAGCTAATTAGTCCCCGTGGTTCTAAGGCACCAAAACCCAGATGCCTCTGAGACTCCTCCCCCAGGGTATGTAAACCCTCTCAGGGCGGGCCTTATCTGGTTCATTCTACGATCTAGTACCTTTCTCAGTGTCTGGTCCAGAGACATTTCTAATAAACAGGAAATGCTTTGATGAATCTTGGATATACAGTGAAAAATCTATCTGACTTCCAAAATTCTTTCACATGTTTTCCTCAGGTAAAAATGGTTTCATTCAAGAAGAACAACTGCAGCGAAAAATATATTGAGACTACTCAGTTGATTGTTTTTGGTATATTAAAACGTCCAGTAGGTCCAAATCAGGGCGGGAAAAATTTAGAGAAGAAACTTTTCTTGTCAAGATGTCTCGCTTTGGTTTGTCACTAAAATCAGTCATTGAGCATTTGAACCCTCCCTCCGAGAACTGTCAGTCAACACTATTTGTGGATTAACCCGTCTGTACTCCACACTATTCTGGGTATTGTGGGGAAATTAAGAACAATTCAATACAGCAAGCACTATTGAGAGATTATTCTGTATAGGGTGGAGGGGTTACAAAGATGCTCTGTTAGAGGACTCCGCATGAGTAAAATACTCTCAAACATCATAGACTGTTAGGAAAGAAAGACATGCCCCTTAGGCACCGTAAAAGTCAAGCCTTGAGAAGTGATGTGACACCAGAGTGCCTGGGAGCACTTAAAAGGGAAAAATTAATTCTCGTAAGAAAGAGTCCATGGAGAAGAAGACTTTTTTTTTTTAATGTTTATTTTTGAGAGAGAAAACACAAGCAGAGGAGGGGCAGAGATGGGGAGAGAGAATCCCAAGCAGGCTCCACGCTGCCTGTGTAGAGCCTGGCGCAGGGCTCCAGCTCACAAACCGCGAGATCATGCCCTGAGCTGAAATCAAGAGTCGGACGCTTAACCAACTGAGCTACCCAGGTGCCCCAAGAAGATGACTCTGAAATGGCCCTGAAAAGATCGACAGACCTCTCATAGATTGGAGAGTGATCCCAGAGACCGAGAAGTCCCAGAGGTGTGACAGGACAGAGTGTGGGAGAGGAAGTTTCAGGGTTGGTGTATTGGTGTGTGAAACAGGCTAGGAAGTGTAGGTGGGGGGAGATGGCGAAGAGCTATAGCCATACTAAGTATTTCCGGGGGTTATTCTGAAGAAAACCAAGAGTTTTTGAGAATCGGGGGGCAGTCAACATAAGTATATGTGTTGGAAATGAAGAAAAAGTGAGGTAGATATTGATACACACAAATACACACACACACACACACACACACACACACACACACACACACGTATTGAATGGCATATAAGTCTATGAATTAGAGCTTAACAAGAGAACTGGGCCAAGCCTTGAACCTTTGACAAACACATTATAATTATGGGATATCTGTGAGGTGTTGATGTTTAAGACCAGGTCCTTGCCTTAGAGGAGCTTAGACTTTCCTCAAGGGACTGGGTAAAGCCAATATATGTAAAATACTTCAGAGATAGATGTGTGTGGTTTTATATCTTGAGAAAGGAGAGACTGGAGTAGGTTGGAGTTGTATGAGCTACTTGGTGAAGTAGGATACAAGAGAAACTAATTTAGCAACACAAAACACAGTTTGCAAATAATTCATGAGTGATCAATTGAACTGGTCTTTAAAAAGCTCATTTAATTTATTTTTTTTTAATTTTTTTTTCAACGTTTATTTTTTTGGGGACAGAGAGAGACAGAGCATGAACGGGGGAGGGGCAGAGAGAGAGGGAGACACAGAATCGGAAACAGGCTCCAGGCTCTGAGCCGTCAGCCCAGAGCCTGACGCAGGGCTCGAACTCACGGACCGCGAGATTGTGACCTGGCTGAAGTCAGACGCTTAACCGACTGCGCCACCCAGGCGCCCTGAAAAAGCTCATTTAATTTAAATG